ATTACAATTAATGGCGAAAGTAATGTTTGGAAATGTAAACTGACATTTCCTACTGACACACTACAGCAAAAAGAGGCTTAAAACCTTTTTTACTGGTGAAAATACTAGTAGCCTAAGACTTGCACAGTAGTGTGTGTGTCCTTCATTTATTAGGCAACTGTGCAAGTAATGAAGAGGTGATAATAAAGAGGTGATAAAAAGGAACAGTCTTTTAACATTCTAGTATAAATGCATGTCAATGCATTCTCATAAATGTAATATTTGAATTCATGTCGGTTCTATACATTTTAAAATATTTTATATCACTTTGATTTGATAAATATCAATGTTTTCAAACTTATTTTACAAAGTTGTATAATGAGGGTCCATGTTGATTTTCTTGTCACATGACAACAATGGCTCCTGCAAGTTGGTTATGCCACAGTTACTTTTCATTTGTTAGTCAAAAATGTTCAAATATGAGTAATATTCTTTCTTAAACAAGATTGTATAAAAATTACTTCTGATACTTTTCATACATTTTATCAGTTTTTGGTAAGTTATTTTGACTTTAATGAAAGGCGCATTTTATTAAGCTCAAATGGAGTAACTTATGGGTTTTAATGACTCCGAGATAACAAATGCTATTAATAAACCGTCGGGGAATTCGGCTCCGAGGCTCCGTGCGTGGCGGTGGAGAAGCACCACAGATATATCTTTTTCATGGACCCTACGGAGAAGCCTTTAGTATTCAAAGCGTCGTTTGCACCTCTGGACAGCACCGAGAAGACCCTCAAGAAAGATGTGGAGAGCATATTGTGTGAAGACTGCGGTAAGTTTATTCACTGTGACTGTGGTGGCTGTGGCTCTTCATTGTTAACGAATAACGGCTCGTTCTCGGAGAGCATCACAACGTTGCATTTTGCTCTAGAGGAGAACGGGAGATGGGTCGCTTGTGTTTGGGCGTCTCTGCAGTATTGTTCTAATCACCGTTATAAACATTTAGGTGTACACCAGTACACACACACACACACACACACAAGCATACAAGCATAGAGAGAGGCATTGACCACGTCTGTGGCAAGCCGCTTAAACATTTATTCCGTTAAACCAGCGAGAACTAATTACGAATAGTGACTAATGAGTTCTTCACTTTCACCAGTTCAGTAGATACTAGAAAGATGTATGTGTTCAGATACATTGTAAAAATGATTTTTTTTGTTGTTGAGATTTTTGGAGTATGTTTTACAAGATAATATTATTTCAGTCTTTCTACTTTCAAATTTAATGTTACTTGCTGTTTCTTTGTAATTGTTTGTAAAATTGTTTCAAAGTAAATCCTACACCATTTTTTTTCAGTGTAGTGACCAGTATCTATTAAATTCCAGCTTTGGCTTTGATTTGCACTGTCCCAATGATGACAAATATTGTACCATTGTTACTGGTAATACATTTTACTATTATTTTGTATGAGGATCTGTGGTTTAAGATATCAAGCATCTGCTCTTAACTAGTATGTATTCCAGTTGTCGCTATCCATATTCCAGTTTTGCAAATAACTATTCTTCTTATATATCCCAATAGTTTAGTAACTTTTTCATCTCATTAATTGCATGTTTTACTTGTATTATGTCAGTTAGTCACTTCATAGTTACTTATTAGTAAGATGTAAAATGTTTTCTTTAAAGATTCTAATAAACTCTAATAAATCAGTACTACACTGTAAAAAAAATAATAATAATAATAACGCTTACCAGAGTCTTTCTACTTCAGACAGCAAACCTCACACACTGGATTACAGCAATGCCTGGAGGAATTAGGACTGATTTCTATCTGCCAAGATGGTTAGAGTTTTCTTTAGGACCTCTGATGTGGTTTAAAACAGGATGAACCCAGGCATGGTACGGGACCGGCACCTCTATCTCCTGAAACTCTGCTCAGATAATGGGATGAGATAATTTTTTTTTAACTTGAGGAAGGTCATAGCCACATAGGAGACTTCCGGACATTTGAGAAGATAACCTGCCTGCACGCTCTCCAGCTCTTAGTTCCATATGCACAAACACACACTCAGAAACACACACGGTGAAGATCAATACCCAGAGCTTTTGTACAATCCTGCTCCTTCAATCGATATCAGTGCATCAGGAGCCCCGAGGTCTGATCTAAAACATGCACACACACACACACACACACACACAAGCATACAAGCATAGAGAGAGGCATTGACCACGTCTGTGGCAAGCCGCTTAAACATTTATTCCGTTAAACCAGCGAGAACTAATTACGAATAGTGACTAATGAGTTCTTCACTTTCACCAGTTCAGTAGATACTAGAAAGATGTATGTGTTCAGATACATTGTAAAAATGATTTTTTTTGTTGTTGAGATTTTTGGAGTATGTTTTACAAGATAATATTATTTCAGTCTTTCTACTTTCAAATTTAATGTTACTTGCTGTTTCTTTGTAATTGTTTGTAAAATTGTTTCAAAGTAAATCCTACACCATTTTTTTTCAGTGTAGTGACCAGTATCTATTAAATTCCAGCTTTGGCTTTGATTTGCACTGTCCCAATGATGACAAATATTGTACCATTGTTACTGGTAATACATTTTACTATTATTTTGTATGAGGATCTGTGGTTTAAGATATCAAGCATCTGCTCTTAACTAGTATGTATTCCAGTTGTCGCTATCCATATTCCAGTTTTGCAAATAACTATTCTTCTTATATATCCCAATAGTTTAGTAACTCTCATTACTCATTAATTGCATGTTTTACTTGTATTATGTCAGTTAGTCACTTCATAGTTACTTATTAGTAAGATGTCAAATGTTTTCTTTAAAGATTCTAATAAACTCTAATAAATCAGTACTACACTGTAAAAAAAAAAATAATAATAATAACGCTTACCAGAGTCTTTCTACTTCAGAATGTCACATTTCTATATGTTTTCCTTGCTTTGAAATGTACTACCAGTTTCTGAGTGAAAATTGTTTTAAAGCAAATCTTACACCAGCATTTTTTCCCAGTGTCTAGTACTAGGAAAACTGTACTAAGAATAATTATTGGTATAGTTAACTAGACCAAATGAATAGCTACTACATTGGACCAGGAACCAGCAACGGATGGAATACATATTAGTTTAAAATTATTAGTTGATATCTGAGCCTCAGATCGCCACAGAAAACATTAACAAAAGAAAAAAAAATTGTTAACAATAGTAATTTGTCACTATTGAGATTAGTAGAATAGGAAAAAGTGCTATTATCAAATAAACAAATACAAATCCTATTAAATGAATTGTTTCTAATCACTATTGGAATAAGTAGGCTATTAGAATAGTTAGAAATAATACATAGAAACATACTAGTTAGAAATAAATGTTAAAACGGTTTGCCACAACCATCAGCTTGACATGCATTAAATGACCAATTATTCTGTACTCTCAGGCAACGGAGTTAAATCAATATGAAGCAATGTACATGAATCTTCAGGCTAAGAGTCGCCCATGTTCATCTGAAACACGTGATTTCACATAATGCAGCATGATGTGCCATGATTCATGCAGGTCTCTAACCTTCTCATGATGTTGTAAGTGTATGTATGATGAGAAGCATCAGATGTCTCTTGGCCTTTGGGGTAATGTGAAGTTTCGGGCCTCAGAATTGTGTGTAAAATAATGCGGACGGCAGCATATCAGTTAGCTTTGAGTTGGCATCAGGAAACCACGTGATGGGAAACTGGAAATCTGCTGCCTGTGGTTGGTTCAGGATCAGGTGGCAGCGGCAAGGCCCCTACAGAAAGGGATTCCCATTCAAATGCAGATAAACTCTGGCTTCACAGTCCCTCTATTATAATCTGACATATTGCTAAATGTTTTATAGCCTGCAATGACATGTACGTGCTTTAATTTAACATGACTTTTCATTTAATGATGTTTTTATTGTATTATATTTACATTTTATGAATTAGAAATGAGCAAGGTCTCAGTGTGCTTTAAGAACAGTGTGACTGTTTGAAACAACAGGTGCGTTTTAGTGCAGAGATATGTTTTGTTTCTTCAAATTGCTTGCAGCTTGCCTTGTAAATCAGTTTTCAAGTGACCTTCATAGGAGGTGTGGTTAAAATTAAGGGTTTTACATGGCACCTGATTGGTCGATTTGTTTGAGATATTAGCCTTAGCATTTTTACTTTTTCATTGTGATTTCCACTCCAGTTGACATATATGCACAAATGATGAGTTTTTGCTGGAATAACTCCATCGTCCAGAGACAGAGCCTTAAGTGTTCTCTTTCTTTAATTCCTGTGTCTTTTCTTTTAGTCTAATGGCATATTATTGAATTAGTAATAATGTTACCCTAAAATTATATTACAAGGACTTTCTGTTTTTTCTTCCAGTCCTGTTATTTACAGACAGTCATGGTTTTAGGAAACACTGTATCTCTGAGACACAGACAAAAATGTGTGGTGCAGTTTATAATGCATTTAATCTATATATGCCTACTTCCCCACTGTGCAAATGACCTCTTGATAATATAATAATATAATATAATAACACTTAATGTAATGTAATGCATATTCAAGTACAAAAATACAAACAGGTTGCGTATGCAAATATAATCAGGTTTTGGGATTATCAGCAAAAATGTAATCTTATGAATAAAGGCCTTCGTAATTCAAGTTTATTTAAAATAACATCTATATATAAAACAGTGTTTTATAGTTTGGTTAAAATAGCTGAGGTCATCGTTTCAATCAAGCTACAAAATATTATATTTAGATAATTATATTTTATATTTACGTATTTGTTTGAAATGGGCTCACTGTATGTGTCTGAGCCGATATGAATGAGTTGACTTGTGAATGAATGGAAAATGGCTTTTGTTTACTCTAAAAAAAATTTGGGAAAGGGAGATAGGAAAGAAGTGTCATACAGAAATAGTGTATGTGAAGGAGGTCAGGTGATTTTAAGAGGATTTACGCAGTAAAATCTGAAAGCTTAATGCATACCTTTAGGAAAATATGCAACGCAAAAGCCTGTCACATGGCGAGAGTTGCTGTTTGTTAGAAAGAAAATGAGAGCAGTCTTGATCCACAGAGACCGGTGCGCTCAGAAACACAATCCAGCTCTGAGACTGAAAGACGTGGCAGACTACAGAGACGGACAGACAGACAGGGTATGAGTAAACATCTAGCCCAGTGTGACTGAACTAAATGTGACTAAGAGTGACCATACCTTGAACTCTGCAGCAGAAAACGAGAGACACACACACAGTCTGTAAGTTTGAATGTGCTTGCAGGAGATGAAGAGGAGTGAGTGAGTGTGAGTGTGTGTGTGTGTCAGTGCCGAAGAGAGAGCGAGAGATCTGGAGCTCGTATGAATTATGCAGGCTGCAGTCTAGAGTGCAGAGTTTTAGCTGACCGTGTTTCTTTTTCTCTCATTTGCCTCTGATTTATATTTCACAGTAACTTCTCCACGTGCTCTTTCAAACACACAGAGAACAGAAAGCCGAGGGCAGTCGAGTCGGCGTGTTCACGCCAGATAAAAAGCAGCCCGTATCAAAGGCGCTCAGATACGAAATGGGACAAATTAATTAACGTATTGATTGCGCATTGTTTTAGTATTCCGTCGCAAACAGTGGCGCATTTATGCTCGCAACATAATTGCTTTTCCCTCACTGCAGTCTGTTAAACATTCCTGCACAGCCCCTGAAGCCATGAAGACATGCAGAACGTCAGAAACAGCCCCACCTCCTGGTCATATTATGGTAATGCAGGTAAATCTCCCACCGGGGGGAGAACAGCCTTTATGGAGGAAGCTGGTGCTT